GATTGTTGGGCTTTTCTCTGTATCTATGAAGCGCCTTGAGGCGACTTTTGTTGTGATTTGGCGCTATATAAATAAAATTGAATTAAATTGAATTGGATGTTATTCCATCCAAATACTCATTATAATCAGCTTGAATCTGTTATATATAATCTTTGATTTTGACTTTGCGTGCACAACCAATCAGAAAAATGAGAACAGCCAAAGTGCTAAAGTGAGGTTTGGCATCTGGGGCAACCCTAAGATCACTAGAAGATCAGCAGATGTAGTGGTGGGCAGATCAATCCAAGTATTGTTAACATTGATTTATATGGATTAATACAAGTGTAATGAGATCGGTGCTTCAGTTTCTGTTTCTCTCCTGTATGCACTGATGAGGTTTCATCAGAGGCAGCCTGGCTGCTGCTTCTTTCAAGTGTCACAGCCCGGGCCGGTTCCCTTTTCTCCCCTCTTGTACTTTGATATTTTCCTGTCACATGACCCAACAGCGCTAGGCAAACAAGCAAGCAGGTTCAGCTAGCCAGGCCCGCTCAGCACTGCATCAATGACAGAGAATATCCTGGTAGATGGCTGTGGGAATAGTAATAATATTGTTATCTTCAGACTTAATTTTCACAGTGGAACTGGCTCATTCCAACTGAAAAAGTATTTATGCTAAGACCCTTATCTAATACATTTATCTTAATGAAGCTCATGAACACCACAGTCACTGCAGATGGATAGGAGGATACTTTATTGATCCCACAAATGAAATATTTGTGTTACAGCAGCATCAGTCTACAAATAACAGAGCTAAAATAATAATAAAAAACTAATGTAAAAATGAAATTAATTAAAAGCAGTAAAGGTCAGACTGACATAGGAAGAATTTCATGTTCTTCATGGCAGCCGGGTTGAATCAGTCTGAGGGATGAGGAGCTCTGCTGCCTCAGCAGTGAGGACTGTGATGGTCGTGCATGATAGAGAGCAGTTTGTTCAGTGACCTCCGACCCTCACTGGCTAAAGACATATTAAATAATTCACCACAGTGCTGCAAGCTAACCTGTTTAGCCTGCACAAAACTACCCAGGATCATGTATTAATGGAAGAACATGAAATAAGTATACCTTACTTTGTTTTGCAAGACATTTCACAATATGAAAGTACATCACATACAGATAGGGCTGCCACAAACGATTATTTTGATAGTCGACTAGTCACTAATCGGAAGATTAGTTAGACTAATCATATCATGCATCCATTGGACGTACAACATGCACCAGCATGCATCTGAGATACTAAAAAAAATGTTTTAAGTTATCTAAGTGACTTATATATCATGTTTAACCTGAGTAGCGAAAGACGCTAGCTATCGAGCTAGTGGGTAACAGACGTCTCCGAAAACGTCGGAGCGCTCTTGAAAATATGTGGTGTCTTGATAAACTGAGCAGATATTTGAGGTTTACACAGCTACATTCTCGCCTGAAAATATGTTAAACGTTTATTTTGTGACC